TGCTAAAAATCCAAGTTTCTCTAGCTAAGGGTTAGGGAGCCTGGCTATGCTGCAAAGAGAAAGTTTGCACATCTCAAATGAAATGATAAACAGTAGTTCCCTGGAACATGTCTCCAAAATAATGGGGAGTCTCAGGTTATACAGTGCTTCTGAGAATAAGAGTGGAGCATGCGGGCGTCCTGGGGAGACCTGTCCCTCCCAATAAAACATCGTTCGGTAGTCCATAGCTCTATGTTCCCAGCCTATTTTACTCTCTGTACCCTGGTGTTCACTCTTCATGGAGGCTCTTTAAAGCATATAAACAGTAAGAATGGAGAAATCACACAACATTTAGTTAGGTTAAAGTATACCAGGTTTTCAGGGAAGAACGACATTCAAATGTTCAGTTAGGATCTTGGCCGATGAAACTCTTCGACTTCTCCCCACCTGCGGGAGTGTTTTTCTTTGACATTTGAGCTCGTTTCCCCTGTCTCTGATGTTTTCCTCACTGCCCTTTTTGCCTCCTCACTGAAGCAAAAAGAACAGAGCCTCGGCTAATTACTCTCAGATCAAATAATACTGGTTATTGTAATTGGTCATTGTCCGAAAACACAGAGTTCTTCTTAGCCCTGAGGTTGCCTGGCACAGCTTAGTTAGCTAACTATTCCCGGAATGTCTCTATTATCTGTTTTACTTTGCAAAAGAAACTAGGGATTTGTTGAAAGCGGGTAATAAAAGTCTGCCCTGGTCTGAGCCGAAACTGCGTACAGAGGGCCTGGGAACGCATGACCTCCATGAATCAAGTCGCCCCCTCCAATAGACACTCAGTGATGTTATTTGGTTTCTCTGTGTCAGAGAATAATAAACCCACTAGGTTTTCTTGCAGGCCAACATTCCCTCATTCTCAGGGCCTGGGGCATGGCTGAGGGACACAAAACAATTTTAATGACCAAATTCACTGAAAGTAAAATGGTTCATAGAGAAAAACTAACAGACTCACAGGGGCTGGTTCTCCCAGAGGCAACTTCCCGGGGCTTGGAGCCCCAGATCAGGTGTTCAGGGGCTGTTGTTCAGTGGACTGAGGTCCAGGGAAATGTTTCTTCAACCCTGCTTAATGGTAACTTCCCAAGGTGCTGCTCACCTGTTCCAGACAATCTGAAGGCTTGGAGGCTTAGGCAGCAGGAACCATTCTGGAAAGCACACAGAGAAACATTAAAAAGCAAAAACAACCCTAAATCTTGTTGCCAAAAATAGTGTTAAAGTTGTAAACGCTCTTCTTGGCTTGGGGTAAAGAGGATTCAGGTATCAGATGGGCTAACTAATGATTTTTAAGGACACTTCTCACTCTGAATTTTTAGGATATGGTGGAAGGTCACTATTATGGGTTGGATTGTGTGCCCCCAAGTTCATAGGATAAAGTCCTAACCCCAAGTACCTGAGAATATGACCTTTTATGGAAATAGGGTTGTTGCAGATATAACTAGTCAAGATAAAGTCATTAGGGTGGGCCCTAATCCAGTTTGATTTGCATGCTCAAAAAGGGGAAAATTTAGACACAGAGATAGACACACACCAGGGAAGGTGATGTGAAGAGATACAGGAGAAGATGGGTATCTACAAGCCAAGGAGAGCAGCCTGGGACAGATCCTCCCTCAGCACTCAGAAGGAACCAACTCTACCAACACCTCAGTTTCAGACTTCCCAGCCTTAGGAACTGTGAGATAATATATTTCTGTTGTTTAAGCCACCCAGTTTGTGGTACTTGTTACAGCAGCCCTAGCAAACTCATAC